ACCTAGCTGCCCCCTAACGTTACACTTTATCAAACTTATAAGATTTAGAAAATCTCAGGAGTAGAAGAGACCTCAGAGGTCAACCAGAACAAGAATCTCCTTTATGAAATAGTTTTCAAGCCATTAATTTAAAACCTCTGGTCAGGGCAGTTAGGTGGAGCAATGGATAGAGCACCAGCCCTGGAGTCAGGAGGGCCTGAGTTCAAATGCAGCCTCAGATACTTGACACCTACTAGCTGTGTGACCCTGGGCAAGTCACTTAACCCCATTGCCTACCAAAAACAAAAAAAAACAAACCTCTGGTCAGGAGGGAGCCCACTACCTCCCATAGTACTCTTCGATAGCCGTAATTGTTAGAAGGAAATTTTGCCTTACTTTTAACCTAAATTTACCTCTTTGCAACCCATTGTTCCTAGTGCTTCCTTCTGGGACCATGGTCAAGTCTAAAGCTTCATCCACCTCAGAGACAGTTATCATGTCCAGTCCTTCCCAGACCCCCCCACACTTTCTTCTCTTTATGTTCAAAAACCCCTTTCTTTAAATTGATCCTCACATGGCATGGTCTGCAGCCCTCTCATCGTTCTGGTTGCCCTCTTTTAGATGCATTCCAGCTTGTCACTGCGCTTCCCAAAATATGTCTCCCCTAGCCGAGCCACAGTACTCCACATATCTGATCAGGACAGAATACAATGGGATACTCCTCTCCTTACTCATGGACACTGTGCATCCTGTAATGTAGCCCAAGATCACTTAAACTTTCTGAACTGTTGTATCACACTATTGACTCATTGAAGGTCCACAAAAATACCCCATTAATTTTCAAACTTATAATCTCAGCTCCCTCATCTTGTTATCATGAAGTTGATTTTTCTTTTCTTTTTTTTTTTAGTATTTTTTTTTCCCAGTTACATGTAAAAACAATTTTAACATTGATTTTTAAAACTTTTGAGTTCCAAATTCTCTCCCTTCCTCCCTCCTCACCCCGCCTCATCAAGAAGACAAGCAATTCAATGTAGGTTATACATGTGTAGTCATGAAAAACTCTTCCATAATAGTCATGTTGTGAAAGACTTAATTGTATTTCCCTCCATCCTGTTCCCCACTCCTGATTATTCTATTTTCTCTCTCCTTTCACCCTGTCCCTCCTCAAAAGTGTTTTGCTTCTGACTACCCCCTCCTCTAATTTGCCCTCCCTTCTATCACCCGCTCCCCTTCTCTTATCCCTTCTCCCCCCCACCTTCTCTCCTGTAGGGTAAGATGTATGTTATTCCCTCTTTGAGCTAGTTCTGATGAGAGTAAGGTTCAGTCACTCCCCCTTTTCCCTTCCATTATAAAAGCTTTTTCTTACCTCTTTTATGTGCATTAATGAAGCTGATTTGGGAGGGGGGCTAGGCAGTGGGGTTAAGCGACTTGCCCAAGGTCACACAGCTAGTGTCAAGTGTCTCAGGCTGCATTGGAGCTCATGTCCTCCTGACTCCAGGGCAGAAGTTGATTTTTCTTAACCCAAGTTTAAGACTTTATTTATCTCTATTGAATTAATTCTCACTTGATTCAATCCAGTGTTTTACTCTGTCATCCATCATGTCTGCATTTTTTTTCTTGTCGGCTATTTCCACCTTTGCTTTTATCTAAAATATTCAAATAATTCTGTGATCTCATAAATTCAGGAGCCCCCACAAACAATGCGGATTACAGACTACAGATCACATTTGTGCCTGCCTAACCTGTGTAACTCAGGCACTATGCTAAGCACTGGGGATACAAAGGAAGGCAATCACTTCTGTCCTCAGGAAGCTCATAATCCAATGGAGGAAGACAACACCTTAAAAGAAGTTGAAAAGCAAGCTGGTGTGGGGGTGAGGAAGGGGTGGAGATACTTGGCAGAGTTGATGTCATCATTCAGAATGATGAGTTTCTGGAGATCATGAAATTGAGGGGGTCAGATGGTTGGAAAATGATGAGGTGAATCCCCTGGGTGCCCACTTCCAACAGAAGGTCTTGGAGTAGCTCCCAGAGTAGTTCCCAGTAGCTCATCCAACATGGATTTTAGGTTGATCATTGACAAAAATATTAAATAGCATAGGACAAAATACAAGTCCTTGGGCACTCCCAAGTTGAAATCAAACCATTAATAACTCCACTGGAGTTTACTTAATTTATTTAATTTAACTAATAATGCAGTTTATTTAATTGCTGGATCCAGGAATTAAACCACTTCCAAATCTACCTAAATACTGTTATTTAGCCCCTATCCATGTTTTAATTGCACAAGGGCCACCAACAAATGTGTTAATAAAGTCTAGATTAACTAACATTACCCTTATTTACCCTTTCATTCATCCTGTGAAAAAAAAGGTTAAAAAAATGAAAAATAATTTATTTAGAGCTGTGTGTCAAACACTGCTGAATGATAGAGTGACACAGGAAAGCCTGATATTCCACTTGCTCAAGAAGCATGGTGTGGTGGGGCAGCTAGGTGATGCAGTGGATAGAGCAGCGGCCCTGGATTCAGGAGGACCTGAGTTCAAATGCGGCCTTAGACATGTAACACTTACTAACTGTATGACCCTGGGCAAGTCACTTAACACCATTGCCTAGCCAAAAAAAAAAAGAAGCGTGGTGTGATCTTGAGACAACATATCTTCTAGGGTATGTTAATGATTTTAACAACAAAGAAGACAGGAAAAACCATTGTTTCATTCAGTGGTGATTTCAGGGGAGATTTTTCATTTGCAATAAGCTTGTAGAATTTATTTTTTTTAATTAATTTATTTATTTTTAGTTTTCAACATTCACTTCCATAAGCTTTTGAGTTTTAAATTTTCTTCCCCTCCCTTCCTAGAAGGCATGCAGTCTGATAGAAGCTCTACATACACATTCCTGTTAAACATATTTTCACATTAGTCGTGTTGTAAAGAAGAATTAGAA